CTAAAAATCTTTGTTATGAAAACACTGTAATAACTATAACTAGGAAGTAAATTATAATCCTTGCCATTTGTTGTCATGTCTTTTGGAAACAAAAATATTTCTGTGAGATTATAATTTTCAGTGCTACCAAATTATAGACATTTAAAAATAATTTATATAAGCTCATATAAATCAAAAGACATTGAAAGCTCATCTGTGCTTATATTTATATGAACTCTAATAATCAAATTATGTAGTCTTTGATGCTTTTCCACAGTTCATTGCATTTAATTTCTGTTTATGTACAATTACTTTACTGACAGTGACTCTAAAACATTTTTGTGTGAGCAAATTAATATTGAGAGAAATTGAAATGTCTGTAAGCAGCATATCAAGACTTTCCACTTGGTGACTTATTTTGCTTCCCACAAGATTTAGACACAATCAGATTTTCTAATTTGCTTTTTAAGAATTTTCTATTTAGCTGGGTCCACGCATGGTGGACCATACCTGTAATCTCAGCTACTTGGGAGGCAGAGATCAAGAGGATCATAGTTCAAGCCCAACCCAGGCAAAAGTTAGCAAAACCCCATCTCAGCAAATAAACTGGGAATGATGGGCATGCCTGTAGTCTTAGCTACATGGGAGACATATGTAGGAGGATTGCAATCTGAGACCAACCTTGGGCAAAATGAGAGACCCTATCTGAAAAATGACTAAAGCAAAAAAGGGTTGGGGGGCATAGCTTAAGTGATAGAGCACCTCCTTAGCAAGCATGAGGCCCTGAGTTCAAAACCTCAGTCCTGCCCCCCCAAAAAAAAAATTCTGTCTAGGCTTTTTGTCACTCTCATACTTGGAACCTCATGTGTGCTACTGAGAGAGGCCCTGGGTGGCTCAGACTCAATTGCAGTGTGATCTGCCCTGACATTGGGCTGTGTAGGGAAGATGCCAGGAGAACACAGAAGCTGGCTTTTGAGGATATGGCTGTGAACTTCACCCTGGAGCAGTGGGTTTTGCTGGATTCTTCCCAAAAGAACCTACAGGTACTATTTACCAGGTACCTATAGACCAGGACATTCAAAATGAGCATGAAAAAAAAAAAAACAGGAGAAATCTAAGAAGTCAAGTGGTAGAGAGCCTCTGTCAACCTAAAGATGATAGTCAATGTACAGTCAGTGTGTGCACTGATTCTAGATTCTATGATGAGTAAGAAAACTTCCTGGAGTAAAACCTGTGAAACCCATGTGTGTGGAGAAGTCCTCATTGGTCATTCATCTCTAAATGTGCCATGTGTGGATATAAACCATGTGAACCTCAGAAATATGGAGAGAAGTTGTATAAATATAACCACTGTGGGAAAGCCTTTAGTTCTCCTCAGTGCTTTTGGAAACAATGAAAGAACCCTCACTGGAGAGAAGCCTTCTCTTATAAGCAGAGTGGGAATGCTTTCAATTCTTCTAGTTCCGTCCAAAGACATAAAAGAACTCATACTGGAGAGAAGCCCTATGAATGTAAGCAATGTGGGAAAGCCTTCACTGGTCACAGTTCCTTTGAAAAGCATAAAAGAAGTCACACTGGAAAAAAACCCTATGTATGTAAGCAGTGTGGGAAAGCTTTAAGTCAGTTCAGTTCCATTTAAAAACATGAAAGCATTCGCACTGATGAGATTCCCTGAATATAAAATGTGGAACTGTCTTGCCATCAGAAACTTACTAGCAAACATGAGAATGCATAGTGCAGAGAATTGGTGTCACTGCACAGCAGGTAGGAATGCCCTAGTCATTTCAGTTTCATCTATAGGTATAAAAAAATTCACTATTCAAGGTGAGAAACCTTGAGTAGAAGAAATGTGCAAACTTCTTTAGTTGGGCCTCGCCCACAGGAAGAATGCCCACTGAGCCAGGTGCCAGTGGCTCATACCTGTAATCCTAAGCTACTCAGGGGGCAGAGATCAGGAGGATCCCAAGCAAATGGTTCATGACACCTATCTCGAAAAAACCCTTCACAAAAAAAAAAAAAAAAAAAGGGCTGGTAGAGTGGCTCAAGGTGTAGACCTTGAGTTCAAAAAGATCCTCAAAGTCCTTTGAAAATTCCTCTTGAAAGACTCTTAGATCTGGACTGGGGGATGCCTAGCAAGTATGAGGACCTGAATTCAATCCCCAGTATTGGAAAAATAAAAATAAAAAACTAGGCATAAGCATAAAAAAGATGTTAAAGACTTCTGCAATGAAAACTATAAGGCAATGGAGAAATTAATTGAAGAAGACACTAGAAGCCAGATGTTGGTGGCTCAGGGTTGTAATCTTAGCTACTCAAGAGGCAGAGATCAGGAGGGTCATGGTTTGAAGCCAGCCTGGGCAAATAGTTCGTGAGACCCTATCTCAAAAATGCCCAATACAAAAAAGGGCTGGTGGAGTGTTTGAAGTGTGAGACCCTGAGTTCAAGCCCCAGTACTGCAGCAAAAACAACAACAATAACAAAAAACCCACCATAGAAGATGGAAAGAACTTCCATGTTCATGGACTGGCAGAATTAATATTGTGAAAATGACTATATTACCAAAAACAATCTAAAGATTCAACGCAATCTCCACCAAAATTCCAATGACATTCTTCACAGAAATAGAACAGTCCTAAAATTTGTATGGAAACACAAAAGACCCTGAATAGCCAAAGCAATCCTGAGCAAAAAAGAGCAATGCTGGAGGTATCTGATACCTGATCTCAAATTATACTGCAGAGCCATAGTAATAAAAACAGCATGGTACTGGCACAAAAACAGACATGTAGACCTGCAGAACGGAAGATGAGCAGACACAGCCATCTGATTCCTAACAAATGTGCCAAAACACCTTGGAGAAAAGACAGCCTCTTTAACAAACGGTGGTGGGAAAACTATGTAGAAGACTGAAACTAGGTGTCTGCCTCTGGAGGTGCGAGACATGTCCCTCCTAATACTTGGCCTTGCTATGTAAGGCTGACTCTAGTCTTGACCTGTTTTTGCCTTTGTGACTTATTTGAACATTCCTGTAATGCATTAGACACTGTTCTCCTTAAATACAGATTCTCCTCAACTCCCATGGGGTTGTTTCGACCAACCCGTGGTAAGATGAAAATATCATAAATTGAAAATACACACATGTGTTAAGTATGCTTATATTGTCACTGTGGCGTGAGGTCCCAAGGAATTCCCTGAGACGGGGAGAGAGGGGGACCTTCAACTCAGGTCACGTGAACCCTGGACCTTGCCACAGAAAAGAATTTAATGAAAAATTCCAGAAATAAACAATATATAAGTTTTTGAATTGTACACCCTTCCAAGAAGCATGATGAATTCTCGTGCCACTCTGCCAGGGATATGAATCATCCCCTTCCCTGTGTCCATGCTGTACACACTACCTGCCTGTTAATCACTTAGCGTTTTGGGTTGTCCGATTCACTGTCTTGGTACTGTAATGCATGTATATAGGGTTTGGTACTATCCATGGCTCCAGGCAGCCACCAGGAGTCTTGAAAATATCCCTCTGTGTGGGAAAAGTAAATAGGATCTCAGTGTAAGCTTAGACCTGAACATAAATGTGGGACCCTACTTGAAAAATAACTAAAAGCAAAAAGACTAGGGGCATGGCACCTGACTAGCAAGCACAGACCCTGAGTTCAAACCCAGTACTGTGAAGGAAGGAGGGAAAGGGAAAGGGGGAAGGAAAAATGAATAAAGAGTTAATGACAGAGACTAGAGGAAGTGGCATACAGCTCTGCAAAGGTCTGTGGTGGCCGGCTAGATTGAGAGCACTCTCCTCTCCATGGCGCTCCTTTACTGCCCTGCTTACCCTAAGGAGAAGTTTTGTAAGTAGGCTACATAAGCAGTGACATCATTAGCTGCCTAGTTTGGTTTGTCCTTGTGTGAGGAGCACTCCAAGGAGTAGCTGACTTAGCACATGAACCGGGAGCAGTTCCTGAGCTTACCCAGTTTCCAGGATACTTGGAGAAGCTAACCTTATCTGGACATTCCATTCTTGGCTCACCTGGCCCACTTCCTTACTCCCTTGGTTGCTAGAGCCTTGGGAGCAGAAAGGGGGCATGTCAGGGACATGGAAGTTGATGCTGATGCCTATTTTTCTCATTGATCGATCACACAGACAGAAAAAAGAGATTAGAGTTGCAAGTCTCAGCTGTTTCTAGTTCAGGCCAACCTCAGCATGAATGATTCCCTTGTACTTTTAATACCATCCCCAGCCAATCTCTGTCCCTTCCTACCAGCTCTTCCTCTTTATAATATAATCAGTATAAAATTCTTAAAAATCTCTCACTGAGTATCCCTTAGGGGCACTTAGTGCTGCTGTGCTTGAAATCTACTCCCTCCCCCATGTCCTTCTTGTGCAGTGTGCAGTCTCATTGTTTACATGTTGGCATTTAATTCAGATTTCACAAGCATAGCTGGATGCTGCTCCTGCTACAGGACTTGCAACATCTAGATCTCCTCTAAGCTGAAGCTCAGAATCAAGCCAGTATTACGTATTTGATAAAGGAGGTGTCTCTTTCCATTTCTTTCTCAGAATTGCTTCTTTGACTTGTTTCTTGAAAGATTGTGTGGCATTTCTGAATGAAAGTAGTCAAGAAAAAGAAATATTAATTTGTTCTGAGTAAACCTAATACTGGTTTTCTCCACGAAAGAGACTTTTGAAAGAGGCCTAAAGTTGAAGTCTAAGAAAACCTGTACACACAGAGATTTGATTGTGACCCAAAAATTTTGTTAAAAACCAAACATTGTTAGCCATACCTTGGGGATGAAAATTATTTGAGCTAAATCTTAAGTCTTCGGTCACTATTACGCTTTGCATTTGTATCCATGTGTTATCCTAAAGGACAGGGGAGCAGGCAGCAGGGGAGAGGGCGTCCTCGTGAGTTCCTCATATTAGAGAGTGAGAGAGTCTGCAGTCTGGGTTCTTGATGGCCTCGGTATATAAAAGAGGACTAAAATGTTTCTTATTTCCCCCTCCTCCCTCTTTTTCTAAACTGTAGGTTTTCAAAACAAGAATAGAGTTGCAATCTTGGCAGAACTGGACAAAGAGAAAAGAAAATTACTTATGCAGAACCAGTCTTCAACAAATCATCCTGGAGCTAGGTATTGACTTATTTTTGGGGTGCTATTATTAATCATATTTTTCAAGAGAATATGAAATATTCTCTTGAAAATTCTCTTGAATATGCTTAATACTCTTGAGTCTCCGATTACTTTTAGGTTAAGGTGTACATTTTCCCTGATCAATATCCTAGCTATGTTAAAAGTCTACTACTTCCCCTGTTATGGCATGTATCATATTTCATCATTCTTGCTGTTAGCTGTGAGCTCCTCTTGCATATTTTAATACCCCTGGTGCTTAGCACAGAGCCAAACATCTAGTAACTGCTCTAGAACCTGGTAAATAAGTGCCTGTAAGTTAGCATCACGTGTTTTGTTAGCTTTTAAAAATAATGTTAAAAAGGATCATAATAAATTACAGTTTTTAAAAGTTAGCCAAACACGATGGTGCATATCTAATCCCAGACTTGGGAGGCAGAGGCAGGAGCAGCATGAATTGGAGGCCAGCCTGGGCTGTGTAGCAACACCCTGTCTGAAACCACCCTCCCCGCAAAAATAATCACTTGAAATCCCAGTAAATAATGTAGGCTTTCATATAAATTACTACAGGTAATGGGAGAAGTAGAAAAGAGAGTTATTGATTTAATAAATCAATATCTATATCTATATCTATCTATATTTATATCTATATATAAAATTTTATGTGTCAACTATACCTCAATTTTTAAAAAAGATAATTTACTACCACTACAAGTGGTAATCTGATAAATCCCCTTTTATAATTATATACATCTAAAAGTAAGGTTGTCCAGCCCTAAGTAGACAAGTAACCAAGGTTTCCGTTTTAGCATTGCACTCTCTAGGCCTGCTCTGAATAAGGACTTCCGGGACCATGCTGAGCAGCAGCACATCGCAGCCCAACAGAAGGCAGCTTTGCAGGTTAGCAATGTGTGACTGACACTCTTGTCTCATTGGTGATTTCCTAGGTATCAGAAGCCAGCACAGTAGTTGTTCTGTATTTCAGTGGAGCAATATCAATAAAAATGTTCCACACATAATTGCAATGGTTTGCTGATTTTCAGTCATACCCAAAGGATTTGAAGGACTAATACAGTAGTAATGAAAGTATCTTTTATGGTGTCATTGCAGTCAGGATTGATTCTGTGCTGTACCTTGCCAGGGCATTGCTTGTGCATGAAAGAGTTTAGGATATTTGGATAGACAGGATCTAGAAAATTGAACTGGCTAGTATCTGTATTTGCAAATTTGACATGTCATAACCTCATCTGATGATTTTATTGGCTCATTGATATTTGAACTTTTTTAAAATAGGCAGTATGACTTGTGTGGAAAACCTTCAAAGGCTTACCATAGGATTAGGAATGTGATGCTTCATCAGTTTGAAGATATATTATTCTTCAGAGTAATGAATAGTTTTAGTATTATACTCATTTTGGATAATTTAAGATTCCCAGAGACTTTGGACAAGACATCATGTTCTTTTGTAGGTATAATTGCTTATGCTTTTAAACCTTGGAATCCCAGAATTGGAAGGGACATTATAAAGATCACCTCACTTTAGGTGGCTTAACAAATACTCCTCCTTTTTTTAATGACAGGGAACTTACCACCATGTTTCCTGTTAATCACCAATAATATCACTGTCTCCCCTCTACTTCCAATTACTACTCTTCTTTTCAAGCTCCTGCTTTGTTGGCCAAAAGCAGAGTTCTTTGGGAGCTTCACAGAAGTTTTCCACACCCACAGAGCAAAGCTACTCGTGTCTTTGAGTTATCTGTTGACTGAGGAGAATCACAGGGGAGCTAGTGTGGATGATAAACGAGTACTTGGTACAATTTGTTAATCCAAATTCTGTGTTACTGTCTGTCTTCTGTGTATTTAAGCAAAATTAGCAGCATAGAAGTGAGTAAGTAAATTTGGCCTCAAGCATTCAGAAAGGATAATTGTAATGCCGTGGTTGAAAACTTGGCTCTAAATAGCTGACTTTAAATCTTTCTCAGCATGCCCATGCACATTCATCTGGATACTTCATAACTCAAGACTCTGCATTTGGGAATCTTATTCTTCCTGTTTTACCTCGCCTTGACCCAGAATGAAGAAAACACCTGTGATAAAAGTGACTTTGTAATAGCAAATGCCAAAGCTGCTCTCCTTCAGCACTGTACAAAGTGTGACTTTCAGAACCTTGGTGAACTTACATTTTTTTTGCTTCTTTAAAAGAAAGGAGTATGTAAGTGAAAGCCAAAAGAAGGGGAACCAGAATGATGAGACTTTTCAAAGATCTGTCATCTGAGGAATTGATTATGCTGCCTGTGACTGTAACTCTTTTGTTAATGCCATTTGATTTTTTTACTCTAAATCAGACTCTGAATTGGATAGTCACAGAAAATGAACTCCTATATCCTAACAAATTGGACTGAATATACCATGTTTGCAATAGACTTTGAAGAACCAGAAATGAGGGTGCTTTTTAAAATGCAAACCAATAGGCTTAAATAAATTACACTCATATTTGCAGTTCATAGGATTAATATCAGTGTATCTTTTAGGTTTAGAGTCATATCATCCAGAAATATTTGTTGTGAACTCATAACTAATTCCATTATTCTCAGTTTTAACAGAAAACCCAGTATATGGCTAAATTACCAACCAGTCTTAAGCATCCTGTATAAATAGTGACTAAATGCTATTAAAAACAATTATAAGTAATGTGGTAGCTTTAAATCTGTACACAGTAGTGTGCCTATGTGGTGCTATTGCCCTTTTGTTTTTTGTTTTGGAGACAAGCTCTCCCTAGATAGCCCAGGCTGGCCTAGAATTCTGTGTAGCTGTGTAGGCTGGCCTTGAACTCATGGTCATCCTGCTTCCACCTCTGTAGTGCTAGGATAACAGAGGTACATTACCATGCCTTAGCTCTTTATTGTCCAATTTCTCTATCTAATTAAAAATTTAAAATTATGTACGTCGAGCCCCTTTTTAGTTACTTAACTAGGAAGCAGTTCGGCTAAGCATGTCGCTCTGCATGGGCCTGCCTTTGACAGAGTCAGGCGTACGCGTTTAAATGTGCAAGCCTGCTACCCTACCCTAGTGCTACAGAATGAGGGTCCGAGTCAAAATAAAGTGTAACATATATCTTACACAACGTTTTCATGATTACAATTATACTTTATATTATATCACAGATACAGGTTGCAGGGTGGGGGGTGTTGTTCCTGGGGATTAAAATCAGGACTTCACACTTGCTAACACTGTACCACTGAGCAATGCCCACTCTCCTGCATATAGCTTTTATATAAAAGTTATATAATTAGGGCTAGAGGCATGACTCAAGGGTAGAGTGCCTGCCTAGCCAAGTGCAAGGGTCTGAGTTCAAACCCCTGTACCACCAAAAAAAAAAAAAGTTATATAGCTACAACCCCCTTCCCTACATAACTTATAACTTATCCATCTTGGCCTTGGCTCTTCATCCTCTCTGGTGGTAGGACAAAATTTAAACTTAAAATTCTAGTGTAGGTCAATTATTCAAAGTTATATTTCCTTTTCACAGAATTTCTTCTAGATATTTCCACTAACCACACAGCCCCATCCTGCCCAAACTAAGGCTAGACAATTCTAGAACTGACTATACTGTTTAGGTTTTTCTTGAAGAATGTGAACCGATTTCCTCGTCTGGGTGAGTTGGCAGCTATCCCCATTGTAGTAGTCAATATCACACGAAGGCCCCTCCCTCCTGCTGAGGAGCTCCTCAGGTTACTCTGGCTCCTGTCCTTCTCTCAAGTCCATCCAACTACTTGGGCCTCTTATGGTAGCCTTCATTTTCTTGAATTAATTTCACTAAGTTTCTGTTCTGTGAGATCCATGACATACTGACACGGATTCTAAATCTATCCACTGATACTAGGGAGATGAAACATTTGTAAAGTTTTTACATTACTGAACCCTCTACCCACTCTGCGACTTTTGAAATCTAGGTAAAAAATATGTTTACATCAGTGGTATCTTTCTAGTTCCTTAGCCTTTTAAGTAGATGTTACCAAATCCTGCAGTTCTACCTAGTAAGCACTTCCTGAGACCCTTCTGCTTTGTCTCACAAATTCAGTTCTTATATACCTATTAATACTCTGTCAAACACTGTGCTTTGAGGACAAACGGAGGAGTGCGACCATCTAGTAAGAAGGTAATACTGTGGAGGATCCTACTCTGGCACACCAGTAGTCATAATACAAGCCAAAGGCATTCTGCAGTAGGCTGTGGTCCAGATAGATGTAGAATTATTCTTTTGATTTTTTTTTTTTTTCCTGGCTGCTCCACACAAAGGTCAAGATTGCATAATCAAAGAGAAATGGAAGTGGGACATGGTGGCCTATGCCTAGAACTCTGGCATTCCAGCCTGAGGCAGGGGCATCAAAGAGTTTGAGGCCAGCCTGAACTACAGAGAGAGCTGAGTCAGGCAAGGACTGCAGAGGGTAATGGATGGCACGGTGGACTAAGTGAAAGCCCTGAGGTGAAGTTTCAGCATTGCTTCCCTGGGATCTTGGGTGGACTGGGGTAATTCCCTCAACCTTTCTTTGTATGCCACTGTGTCTATAGAACAGGAGCAGCAGATGCTGACTAAGCCATACATTGTCTAGACCAATATTTCCTTTCTCTTTTCTTTTTTCTCTTTTTGCAGTGCTGGCAGTTGAACCCAGGCCCTTTCACATGCAAAGTAAGCACTCTACCAACTTTGCTACAGCCCCAGCCCTCCACCAGTATTTTTCAAAGTATAAGTTGCAACCCATTTCTGAGTTGAGAAGCCACCTTAATAGCTTAATGGGGTGTAACCAGCATTCTCTTGGGAAAAATAGAAAACATCAGAGTGTCCTGCATGTAGTGACAGTTGGGTTGGTTTCATGAATCTTGTGTTTCTCTGTGTTCAGATATGTTTGCATTTTACTTGTTTTATTTATACTCTGTTCCACTAGTATGTAAGTCTTTGGGAGCAAAGATCTTTTCTTCCCTTTCCCCAGTCCTTTCTTCCTCTCCTACCTCATCCACTAGTATATTCCATATTGTGAGTGTTTAATACCCACCTGTTGAAGGAATGAATGAAAGGATATATATGACCTGGGTTGCAACATAAAATGTATTTTTTTTTAACTGTGAGTCATGGCAAAGAAGTTTTGAAAGCCACTTCTAAATAATGTAGGTGACAGTGCTTTGTATGATCTCGGAATAAAAACTGAAATGACTAATTTCAAGGGCAGTTGTTCTTTTTGTTTTTTTCCTGAACAATCTGTGAGTTGTCTTATTGTCTCAATTCTTTGTTTCACTTTGGGAGTAGAAACAGCCTTTATGAGTTCAAGGCCCACTCAGGCAACGGATTTGGCAATATGGTTCTGAGATCTACAGAGAGAATGTGAATTCCTTAGTATAATTCAACACCAGCTAGCACAAGTCAACTGCAGCACATAAAAGTCAACCAATATTTACCAAGTGCTTTTCTTACCCAGGTCTGTAGGCACAGTTACTGTGCATACTAAACATCTAGATTTTTTTTTAAATGAGCAAATAAAGAATGTACACAGACCATGAGGAGAAAAGGAACATACCCACTGTCCTAAAGAATCTGATGATGTAGAGTGGGCAAGCCAAGCACACTACTGATACTGGGTACGACCTAATGAAGAAAGAATAAGGACTAGTGAATGCTCCATCAGAGAACCAAGCATTTGAACTTGACTCTCAAGATGAAAGGATTTCAGTCAGGAAAGATAGAGCAAAATTCAAAGCAAAGGAAATATCTGCACAGAGGTAGGTGAGCAGGTGTAGGTGCCCTTGTGAAGCAACCAGTTTGGCTGAAGCACAGACAGATTTATATAGGCAGATAATTTGGAACAAGGCTAAGTGTGAGCCACACTCATTCCAGGGTGAGCCAAATACCTTTAGCTCGGTACATAGTGAAAGTCAGCGAACACTTGGACATAGGCAGTATAGAGATGAAACAACTCAGCCCTCATCAGCACTTGGGAAAGGAGAACTCATGAAGCATCAGAATATTACTTTGAATTTCTATTGAGAATTCTGGAGACAGGCGTGTTCTCTGTACATCCACCTCTCAGCTCCAGCCCCGTCTACTTCTACTATTGCTTCCATGTAGTTTTTGAACCCTTCTCCCAAATTTCCTTTTGTTCACCTTCCTCCCCCATCTTTCTCTCCAGCTTTCTTCTATATATTTGCCTGTAAGTACCTTTTAAGGAAAAGCCGGGTATTCTCAAACAGTATTTATTTAACAATCATAATAGCTCAAGGAGGTAGATATTCATAGGAATCTACTCAGCATTATTTCTTCCTTCCTAACAATTGACCACTCTTTTTTTCCCTAACAGCCAGTGTCCTTCTGGGGAAGCTGACTGCTCCAACAATAGAAGCAAGCCTTATATGCTGCACACCAATCAGGGTAATTCCCTTTTGCCTCAGTGATTGGTTTAGGTAACTCATGCCTAAGTCACTCATGTATTCCCCAGGAACCACAGGAACTGGTTCAGGACTGGACACATTGCTCAATGACACTCTAGAAGGTTGCTGAGCTCAAGAAAAAGATGCATTCTCACTGCCTGAGATCACTACCAAAAGGACTCTCTTTAGATGAATAAAAGGAAACAGTGTTGTTGGCAACTGTGTGACCATGGGGTAGAGCCAATCTCAGGAAAGCACCACCCTACAGGTAGAGCAGAGAAATATAAATAGTCCTTAATGTTATCACTGGGCTCATGATTGACAGTAAGACTGAGTCAAATAATCCCTAAGGTACTGGCTACCCTTCCTCTGAAAGGGGACCTAATAAATTCTCATTAATGTTTAAAATTTTTTTTGTCCCTTGCTACATAAAGACCTGAGTAGAAGATAGTCTAACTTGGTAACAACATCTTAGCCACACAGTTAGGTAGTGGGAAGCAGGTGTCTTAATATCCTATTTCTCCTCTGGACTCACAGTGATGCCTCTGCTACCCACTTTACACCATTTTCATTTGTCACCAAAGTTAGTTGCTGTGCACCTCTCCCTTACAGTTCAACCTTCCTCCTCCCCTGTACTGATGACAGCGCTTCCAGATGTGCTTCGCCCTGAGAATTTCCCTACTGAGATCTCTGGGATTCCATTGGCTCAGTAACAAAAATGCCTGTGCACTCCCAGTTTTCCCCAGTGCCTCTGTCCCCATTCTTCCTGATACCTTGTTTTTTCTGGAGACCAGCAAGTCTTTTGAAGCTCTTGGGAGAAACCAGCTCATAGGTTCACATCCTGGCTATAGAGTCAGCTAGTTTCTGATTCACCATTGCTACTCTAGAATTTTACTTCAAAATTCAGTTCTAAAAAAATGCATGTCCTCTCCCCACTTAATAAAAAAAAGCTGTGCTAGGCTGTCAGTGGTAGAATGCTTGCCTGGCATGCACAAGGCACTGGGTTCAAATTCCAGCAACACACACACACACACACACACAGAGCCATGCCTACCCCAGTGCCATTGTCAAGTACTATGCAGACCCTCCTTTATATCCTTTTAAGAACCTTGACTACTTCACAAGCCTCCCCTCTGCATTACTCCTGCTGCTGTGCCGGGAACATCAACACCCACCTCAGTCTGCACTAGTATACACTCTTGTCTCCAGGGCTGTGACATCCGTTGCTCCAAAGACTGCCTTCTCCACTCTGGCCAGTTCCTAAGCCTGGAATTTTCTCTCCCTATCCTCATGCTCCCCAATTTCTGCATCCTGTTCTGTAGCCACATACCCTGAGATTTCATACAGTTGCCTCCTTCCCTTTCGTTCTTCCACAGAATCCTTTTGCACATACAGTGCATCTCTTTGAAGACCTGTCAATGATGTCTATCTCAAGCCTGGACTAACTCTGTCCCTTTGCCATCAGAGTATATTGGCTCTTTCTACACCCCATCCTACTACCACATCTAACCACTCACCTTGCTACTGTGGCCCCACACACTGCCTTCCTTACTGTAGTGGATGATTGGTTCACACTCCTTGTGAAGACTATCAACATTTGTCTTTCCTTGACCTACATCCAGTTCCACAACTGCTCTGTTCCTCTGCCTCCCTGTACAATGAACTCCCCCAAAGAGTGTCTGTGCGAGCAGTTTCCAATTCCTCTACTCTCATGTCTGCAACCCACTCCAGTTCAC